ATATTTTTGTAACATTTATGTGTTGTGAATAGTCTATTGATGGAAACAGAAGAATGAAGTTTTGTTTAGAATTATTTTATTAAAATTTATTAGAAAAATAATCCAGACATACGGAATGTGTTATACACATGCACAGAGCTTCCAAATGTTTAGTTTCATTCCCTATTTTTCCTATTTTGCCACAAGTTTTGTACAAAGTAGTTTCGTAAGAGAACACCAACTTTCTTAACTTCATTTTCATTAGGATTATGTATATTATCATCCAACAAGTCAACATGTGCCATGCCCTCATTTACATAACCATCAAGATCTTCCTCTTCCTGAAATGAGCAGATGTTCTTGAAAATATTTTTGTTGGTGAGGAGGATGTTAAGGTTTCCAAGTGGTCTGGTTCCTATTGCTTCCATGGTGTCCCAGACTCTGTCAACGTACTCCGGTAGGACATTAAATGTAACTGGAACCGTTACTGGGTGCACTTCGTTTGCAATGGGGATTGTGGGGATACTAATGGGATCAGAAATTTTCAATCTAGCAAAGATACCTGCTTGGATCGCATCATCCGTTTCTTTGTTCTTCTTCTTACGGAATTGCTCGGCCCTCCTTTGTTGAGAACCCTTCCCAGTCTTATGCTTAGACTTCTTCTCTTCATCCACTACATCTGTAGTCATTTTCTTCTCGCTTTCGCTCTGCATGTTGCAATGACACAACGCGCCACTATTGTTTTGGCAATCCTTTCATGGTGGTTCATATCTAAAATTTCTTTTAATCTCCGAAAACGACCTTTTAAGTCTGCAAACGCGTATTCGATTTTCACTCTGGTCTTTGAAAGCACTTGATTGAAATATAGTTGTTCTGGTGTAAAATGGTCGTTATTCCTGAAGGAGTAATAATCCAACATTTTAGAGAATATGCGGAGTCGCCTATAATGTATCGAACTGGTGCACATAACTGTTCTCCATGAGGGAAAAATATCTGATGTCCTAAATTAAATATACGTGCATCGTGAACACTTCCAGCCCATCACCAGGCTACATCGGTAAACAATAGGTTATGTTTGCATATCCCTTGAAGAATGACAGAAAATTTGTTTCTATTATAAGAATCTTGCCCATGTTCCATTGGTCTTTTAATGGGAATGTAGCAACCGTTAATTACTCCTAAAAAATATTTAATAAACATACAAAAAAGTAAAGGACAACAACAAGAACAGGACGAGTCAGAAAAATATTCGAGTTCGAAAATGTTATGGACGAAATTTATAATAAAAAAACCACTGTTGAACCAATATTATTATTATTACTTTCAGCCAATGAAAGTTACTGGTCTAGGATTTCTGAAACTCCTGAAGTAAATGTCGATGAAAATATACCCAGTGAAACTAAGTGTATCAGTATAGTGTGGTCAATCAACACAAAAAGTCGCAAACGAAAAAGACAACCTCATTCGCCCCACCCCAGAGAAGGAATGATCTTCTTCTTGAAATGAAGAATGATTTGGAAACGTACTATAAACAGAAATTAGAAATGGATAAAGAAAAATTGGACGTTTCAAGAAAAAAAGTAGCTGACCGAGAAAAAGGACGCTACTTCTTGAAAAGAAGGTGAAGATTTTACAAAATATGGGAAAACGTGAAAATTTAAAAAAATAGTAGTCTATTAGTGCATTTTTAAATATAGTACAAAACGCTTTATTTTATTTTTTGATTTTGTTATGAATGATTATACTGCAGGGAGCTCTATCTGGGTGGCTGTTTCAGGAAGGCACACTATATTTTTCTCTAAAAAAGGCATAAATCTTAAACAACACGCTTATTTTTCGCACATAACCTAATACATAAGTGGTCTGAATGTTATTTTCTTTTACGTATCGGCCAATAAGTGACAACACTTCCTTTTTGGAAAGCCCAAATCCCCATTTTTCCATAAGTTTGATGTAGCCGGCTATTTTCTTTTCTTCCTCATACGGAATAGAGGTAAGTCTACCACAGGTTCTACTTTTGACACCCCTTTGACCTTTCACATGTTTAAAAAGTGATGCTTTTGGGATCTCAAACAGTTTTGATGCTCGATACAACGTCATGTGTTGATTTCTTACAGCATTTATGGCTCTATCTAGCGCCTCCTTAGAGTGTTTAGGTGGCGACTTCTTTCGAACGTAAGTTCGAAACATTTCTGAAACAAAGAAATAAATACTTGCCCCACATGTATGGGGTAACTGGAACCTGCGTTATTTTCCAATAAAAATAAATAAAACTTCAAATGTTTCAAATTTAAACAAGTATATTTTATCAAGCAATTTTGGCAAAATTTAGTGATATTATCAGACATTTATAACATAGGCTCCACTTTCCCGTTTGGAAATTTCAAGGGGCAAGTGTAACCCATGCCATTTCCGCAAGAAAAAATAAAACATCCAGGTCCAATACACCCAAAACGTAAATAACTGTTCCTTATGAGGTACTTACTTGAAAAAAATATTTATATTTCCACAAACTTCTGCGATTTTTGATGCAGACTGTAGACAATGTTCCAGTTGGGTTGCCGGTCATACCGCAAATGCAGCGCGGCACTCAGGAAAGGACTCGTAGTATGTAGGAGTCTATAGCACGATCGTGTTCGATGCAAAGTAGAGCAAACAATTGTCGGTCTTTTATCAAAGGAAAATCGTGTCATCATTTTTAGGAGGCGTAAGATGAACCGTTTCAAATTTAAAATGAAATTGAATGTAAAATCTGAAATACCGCCGCATACGCACTGTGTTCTGGTACTAGCTGTAGTCGGCCAGGTGCATCCAGTGTACGAAGTGGTCGGTTATACGTCAAATACTAACCTGGCGAGCTTGATCGTAGAGCAGGGAACAATAAACAGTGGCGCGTACAGAGGTGAAATGTAGTACATATGTGGAATTTAAATAACGAATTGGATTTATAATAAATTACATTTAAAACAAATAGTTTATGAGAATAAAGGGATTTTTGTAGGAACAGGGTTCCAGACGTGAACTGATCTCTTCATCGCACCCCATTACGATTCTTTTTTTTATAAGGAGAACGAAGTTTCAAAGCAAAAACCTTGTATAACAGATATACTATAAATATTTACAGAATGAAAACAAAATATAAATCCTATGATATGATTCTATCAAATGAAAACACTAACAACAATTCTCTACCAATCTCAACAAAATAAGTTATTTTTCTATCAAACAAGAAATGTTAACAATTTATAAACAATATATAAATTCTATGATTTATGTACTGTACGCCGAACTTCATTTTTCTCATCTTCATTTAATATTAATTTCTTCTTTCCACCCCCTTTTTTAAGTTTCCTAACGTCTCCTTCATTTTTCTTCTCTCTTAAAATTTTGAAAACAGATAATTCGCTTACTCCAAACCAGTCTTCAGTTTCATGGGATGATCCTTTTCTAAAGCGTTATAGACATTTAATATTATCGTTTTTTCTCTGTAACTTAATACAGATTTTTTTGTACCCACAGCAGTACATCCGGCTCGCGAACATCCAGGCACCGCCTCCATTTCTCCATATAACGACAACAGAGCAATAATAATACAAAAAACTTCACTTCACTAGCACAGAAAATATAATAGCATTCACGATTCACAAACAACAGCCCGAAACACACACACAGCACACAAATAAAACACTAAAAACACTTTTGTTACGGAGCACAAGAAATATGATTTCACTCACAAATTCTCAAATAATTGCGCGAAACACACATATAGCCCGAAAGAAATATAATTGCACTTATAACAGTTATAACCTCACAAATATCGCGAGCGAGAAACACGCAGCACCAATACAACCGAAACGAAACTGACCACGCTAGGCCGGCACGCGCGCCGCCGCAAAAAACACAAGACACAAGTCATATGAGGGAGTAATAAATGTATTGTTGCCCTGCCGCCCAATGTGCGAAGGAGATGCCTTTGTTTTTCATTTTGTCTTTCATAAATATATAACTGTTAATCCATAATGCATAAAGAAATTATTCAATTTCCAAAACCGCTATAAAATGTGTTGCACTGATTCCCTTGACAGGCAATGATTTATTACTTTGCATCGAATACGATCGTACTATAGTCGGAAGATTATTCAATTAAAATAGGCCGTGGGTTCCTCTTGCCGCAAAAATACACTTACCTTACTAAAACAGACGGAGCGGTTTCTACCGAATCGGCTACCGCTCGGCAGGGGATCGGCTCAAAACACATGTGGCGTCACCCTAATTTCCGACCGACAAATTTTTGTCCAGTCTTTTAAGTAGTGCGCAGGTGGCATAAAGTATGTCTTCTTCTGATGAAAGTGATGATTTGTTTTTTTCTAATAACTGCAGGCTTATTATATAACAGAATGAAGAAGAAAAAGAAACGCAATTATGGAATACATCCCTTAATAAATGAGAGGAAAAACAGAGTATTTTTTTATACACTACTTAATTTTACCAGAATGTCAAGAGAAACATTTCAAGAATTATTATTTGAATATTTGTTGTGTTTTATAATTACCTTTGATAACTCCAGCTGAATGGTACTGGGCACGTAGCGTATCTTTAAGGTAAATTTTGAAAGTGGCTTGCGACTTACTGCAGATTTTCCGGGGTCTTCCCTGTTGCAGAGGGCCCTCAGTCTTTAGTCCGGAGTGGAAACGGGGTGAAACAAAATTGCGGCACACTTCATTTTAATTAAAGCAAAAGTATATTGTATTAAATAGCGGCACTCGTGAAACTAGCGTTTAAGCGTGAACAACTGATGAGTCGAACTTCTACTCTCTCTTCATGTAGCTGTGTGAGTCGCAAGTCGGTATCGCGCAATTTTAAACAAAAAATAATAAAAAACCGAACAGAACAGCGGGTTATTTTGAATGGAAATAGGGCTAAACTATACTAAGGCTAAAATTAATTATATTAAAATTACTATTTTTTACGAATACTGAACATTATTAATCATTAAAGATATATGTTCAAGAAGAAATACTATGAGGGAAAGCATACCAGTAGAAGAAAAGCTTCTTATAACTTTAAGGTAAGATAAATAAATCAAGTAACCCTAATTGCTAAAAAGATATTTTTATTATGAAAAATATAATGTTGTGTTTATTAACAAAATTGTGTTTAAAATAATGAAGTTATGTCTGTATCTTGGGAATACGAGCTTATAGGTGACATTAAAGGGGATTCAGTACTGTGCTGCTGAATCCCAGAAGGCCGAGCTTGGGGCTCTTGTTGCTGAACCGAAGAAGTTGGTAAAGTGGGGAACTCCGGAAGGTCCAGGTTGCGGATTCGAATATTGCCATTGATGATTGAATTGAATATTGCCATTGATTCCAGATTGGTGATAGTGAGCCTGGGTGGGAGTTTGATTATACGGTAATTGCTGCGAGTGTTGTGAGGGCGCAGGTGGATGTACGGCGATAAATTTATTTATGCTTTGCATGATGTCCATTCTTGCAGCAAATTTAAAGTGTGAGGGAATAAGTTTCAAAAACGGCACTAATGATAATAGAAATAACCTATCATCGTCTTCGACAGAATTTACTGTTTCCGCTTTTTGTTTTTGCCGAATAGTACGGGTATCAAGGGCCTCCATAAGTTTTTTTCCAGCGTGTTTCCTTTTCTTTTTTTGGCAACATGAACAGTAGAAGACTCATCACCTATAGCAGGAGTTTCTGAGGCGATTCACTTTGACTGTTTGGTGATGTAGGGGCCACATCATCCATAGATGTATCTGTGGGGCGACGTTGAATTACATCTGACAAAAAGCCCAATTGATTCGTGTACATATAGGAACTTTTGGTTTTTCGTCCTTGGCCTGACTTTCCTTTATTTTCTTTCAGTTCTCTAGCGTACCTATCTCTGATGTTTTTCCATTTTTTTTTTTGAAGACTAGAGCCTGAAAAAAACATCCGTTTTATATAACATATACCTGATTTTGTTTAATATACATTTCGTGTACAATACAATAGTTTTTATCCAGAAAGCCATAAAAAAACATTTTTCTATTTTTCTTCCAGGTACCTAGCTACTGGTTGTTCATTTGTCGATATGCACTATGCTTTTAAAATTGGAAAATTCACAGTAAGTTTAATCGTTCAAGAAGTTTGTAAAGCAATATGGACACATGCTAAACATATTACTTTTCCATCGTTAACTACTGAGAAATGGCTCCAAATAGCCGAAGGATTTAAGAAAAATGCAAATTTTCCGCATTGCATAGGAGCCATCGATGGAAAACATATAAGGATGATAAAACCGGCTAATAGCGGCTCTATGTTCTATAACTACAAAAATTATTTTTCAATGGTCCTTTTTGCAATGTGTGATAGCAATTATTTATTTACATACGCAGACGTTGGCTCATATGGAAAATCTAGTGATTCTGGAATTTTAAAAATTCCACTATATGAATAAATGATAAATGGTACACTGGAAATTTCTACCTGAGAGGTAACAAAATGCTGCAAGTTATTTAATGGTCCATCATTGTCATCTTGCTCACAGTTTGCTGCAGGTGAGTGTGCAGACATAAAGTTATTTGTTAACAGTGCTTTAAAAGACGATACAAAGTGAGATGCGCTAGGTACATTTTCCCTGCCACTGTAACTACGTATACAACCAAAAAAGTTTTCAAGAGCATCTTGCTGAAAACTTCTAGTTAATAGAAATTTATTTGGGATTTTTTTCAATATATTTTCGAACAAATAAATAAATCCTTTCAATGTATGTATCGTATTTTTAAGTGTAGGTACTACAACATTTTTCTGTTTTCTTGGGCAGAAGTATGTCATCGTCTGAAATACTTTAACTGCATCCCGCCAAAACTGAAAATGACATGACGTTTTCGTAATCGCAGCTTTTAATGGTTTTCTTGGTGGACCCGTCCTTCTGCTAGAATTTAAGCTATCAAAAACTTTATCTAGAAATAAAATTAATCTAGCAGTATGTATCGCCTCAGGGTCCCATTTTACTTGAGATCCTGAAAGAACAAAAAATAAATTGTAATAATTACAACAGTTATACATGTTAGCAATTATATAAGTTTGTAAGTACAAGTACAAGTATGTATAGGAAGTTGAAATAATAGATTTCATAAAGGACTTTGGTATTAGGATCTTTGTTGTGAAGTTCAAGTGATAATTAACATAGCCTATTTACATTTTTATTACAAATTAAATGATTACTTACGCCATCTAATGATCTTCTTCATCAAGGCGCCAACTTGGTGACTGAAGACCTGGGTGCAACAACTGACTTTCATCTTGTTAATTCTTGTTAATTTTGTGTCGTATTACGTGCTGGTCTATTACTTTGCTGCATATTCTGTCCTGGTCTTCAGTATCTAAGAAATAAAACTGTTCGATGTGCTTCCATTGGGCTATACAGTTTTCATTTTCATAAGTGAAATGTACGTATTTTGTTAAGAGATTGTTTCGCATTCCTTTGAAAAGATGAGTATCGAATAAGGGAACAACTTCTCTACCATCAATTAATATTCCAAAATATTTATCTGGATCGTCGCCATTTTTCAAACAATACTCCTTTCTTTCTTCTAGAAGGGAGTTAATAGCGGCTTGATTTGGTCCACCTTGATCGCATATGGTAGCTATGATCGTAAGCCCAATTTTATGACATTCCCTTATAATACTTTTTAATAAGCACTTAATGTCAATACTTTTTGTAGGGCCAGCACTGAAAGTGTAACACAGAGGCTGTTTCCACTGCCTGAATATGCCTTTTGTTATAAAAACATTAACATGGTCTGCCAGTTCTGCTTGAAAGCCGCAAATCTCATCATCCTTTGTGTTATAATGAATGAAACTCTCTATTGACATCTCATCAAATACTAGAATGGCAAACCGATCTATCCTTTTCATATTATCTACTGATTTTTTGAAACTTTCAAAAATACTTTTATTAATACCAGGCTTAAAAGGAATCTTATTAAGAAGATTTGTTAAGGTTCGCCTAGATGGTAGTGAAAATATTTTTTTCATCAATTTATATCCTATTCCACTTGCCTTCAAAATTGTCAATGACAAAAGTTTCTCTTCAATTGTAAATCTTCGCGCCTTTGGTTTCTGTTTCTGAGTACGAATTTGTGACATTATAAAAGTGTATGCAAGAGAATTAACATGCTGCAAAAGAAATTCATATTGTGGAGAATGAACCAACTGTTCTGCTGTTTGAAGTTTGTCCTTTAAACATGTTAATTTGTTACTTATTCTGGCTGTTCTGTTACTCCATTCAATAACGTTTTTATAAAGAATTTTTGCATCAGGAGATAAATACTTTTGTCTAGTCACATTTACCATTCCTAAAATGCTACATCTTTTCTTTACACCTAAAACATCTAGTCTTATTACTACATCGACTAACTTTTGTGATTCATCAAAGTCATAACATATTCTGCCGATGACTAACTATTATACAAAATGGTGCAGAATATTAATAAACTTGAAGAATATTCCACAAAAGTATCATATTGCCTATATATTCCCATTTTAAATTCACTATGATATTAAAACACTTTCACAATATGATCAAAAGCAATTCAATTACCTTTAGGTACTCTAACTATACTTCTTTTCTTAGGGGTAGACATATACGGAGATTCTACATGATCGTTTAAGATTATCTGAGAGTTTGTTTGCAGCCCAAAACCATTTCCTTCATTTTGGCCTGAAAATGAAAGTAAGTACGTAAAGATTCTATTGTTTGTTCTAAATGCAGTGCGACAAGGTGAAATGCACAAATGTATTTTTAAAAAATAATAATTTTCAAAAACAGGTTTATTCCACTTAAACAATAATTTTGCAACTATCAATAAATTATGAACATTAATAAAAATAAATCACTTAGGTGTTGCCTCAACAGTATGAAGCAGACCAATTAACTTGTTGCATTCCTATGAGTGAACTAGATAATCTTTTCTTAATTTAAACACAGTTTATAAGATCGATTCTGATTTTAGAGTAGCAAAATAAGTGTAGATATCACTCCAATAACAGAAAATAACCAAAATTACCTGAAGTACTGTACGTTTCGTTTTCCTTATGCATACACTGTACATGTAAAGTTTCTTTCGCAACCTCATTTGCTATACTGGTCTGTAAACTTTCCCGAAAATTTTCTTCACTGGCTCTGTCTTGCTTTAAAAATAAAATTTAAACTTATAGTAACTTACAAGCTTCACAAAGATCTAGCTATCAGTTTCATTAATTAATTTTATTTGTTAATTACAGTTAAACATCATTACTTATTGTTATTGAATTATTGGAAAATGTGGTAAGAGATATCGAATAAAACAAGGTAAGTACAGCTTTTTTGTAACAAATTGATAGGCGAATCGAACTGGGAATGCAAAATGTCAAGTTTGGCAACACCGTCAAAATTGTAGAAATTTTAAAACTTAATTTTGACCATACCTGTATAATGAAGTATGCCAAATTCAAATTTAAATAACGAAAATTGTATTGCTATGAGTTACTACTATCACCGCCCACAGATTATTCAGCCTACTATCGCCCAAACTACGAAGTTACCAAGGTAACAGCTTAGAAATTATGACAGATTCAATATTTAACTTTTTACTTTGAAGCCCTGTATATCCGTACGGAAGTCAGATAGAAAAAAAAATGTATATGGAGTACTAACATTTTTTAGACTTCGCCTGTACAATTACCCTATCATATTTGACCACTAGTTTCTGGACACCCTTTATAGTTATTGTTTTAAATACATATTAAGTAAAAGATTTATATTGTAGTTATATAGTTTTTAGACTTAAGTACCAATTAAATTCGCAACTGCGTCATCAACTAATTTTTGCCTTATACAAGGGGATGGCATGTTTGGTGAAAGTTTCTTGATATGGTTGAACTAAAAAAAAAATAAGTATGTAATACATGGTCATACTCTGTTACATACTGCAGTTAATTATGAGGATAATTTAGTAACTATAACTTCCTAGATAAAAAGATCTTTTTATATACGACTTAACTATGTATGCTATATTGCCTTAACAGCCGTAGCCTTGTACTAATGATTAGAATATCTTCATTACATTACATAAAATATGAATTGGTTGGTTCTATGATACTTACTTACTTCTTTTAAGGTATAAAATTTAAGTGCAATATGTATTAATTTTTTTGTCTCTTACTTAGAGCCTTCTGGTAAAAATAAGGTAGGTGCAGCGTTACGTTTTACACCCCTGACTCCACCTTTATAATGTTCATTAATATTTTTTGAAGTAAAGTGTCTTGAACACACGGCAAAATTCTTGTAAACAGTTTCAGATGGTAAACTAAATAATTTTGGGTTTCTAACGTTGTTTAACCATGTTTTAAATAACTCTGGATCCTTTTTATTTGGAAACCGAAAGCGACTACTGTCCACATCATTGCAACCCGGAAGCTTTTTCGCTCTCCAAAAAAAGCCAATTCAATGTAATATTAAAAAAAAACACCAACATAGACTTTTTATAACTTTTTTCAAACTTAATGTAACACACTTCTTGAATAAAATACACAATCAAATGCACCAAAATCACAATTTCGAAATGTGAAAATAAACTCCAACAACTCGAACTAATCAGCAGCAATGTGATTGGTGGATGAGGGCGTTGCTGACAGTTCTACCTTCGCTGTCTTACGCCACCGATGAGTGAAAATTATAATACCCTGCATTAAATATGAAGGTTTCTGTAAATTAGCAAGGCAGCGCATTCTTCAGCCTGCCCGCATAAGCTTAAACACCATTTGACCTTCACTCATTCAAGATACTCTTCTAAGGGGGGATATTTTGTGCAGTCGACTATCACAGGAGAATCTATGAAGACGTCCCTAATTTTTTTTCGACTATCACAGACTGCTTGCATCTGAAACAAAATAATTAAAATTTTATGTTTGTCGTTAGGGTGATTTAATAAGGTAATATTTGCACTTTTTTTTCTCAAAACTAAATATCACTCGGGGGCTTAACCACACTTCGTCCTCTATCATCTAATCCTCTACTGACTAATCTTGAAACTTCTTTTTTCCTGTGTTTCCGGCACAATTAGCGCGAATTTTGAATTTGAATTTAGTTACTACATGTTATATCTTCATTATTATATACAATTTGTTTTTACCTGAATCGAATGATATTTTTTTCTATTTAAGTACGACTCTGGATCATTTGATGGTGTGTCAATCAGTACGTGACTTCCATTCATACATCTTATAACTCCTGGAAAACCCATTCTTTCAAAATCTTCAGAAATTTCTACTTTTTCCTCTTTAGTTGGCTAAGTTATTACCGTGCTTGATAAGGTGGATAAAAACTTGGTCACGTTTTCTGTTATTCCGTGCATTGTGCTGACACTTATATCAAACCTGTCAGAAATACTACGAAAGGATCCTGCTTCGTGA